GAGATGAGGGAAGTGTGCTGCTGGGGCAGCCACCTGTACCCCAAAGGTAGGACTTCAGGAGAAGGAAGTCAGGACAACACATAACGAGGAGTAAAAGAGAGTATTATGGACCGAATGTTTGTGCACCAACTCCAACCCCCAGTTTCCCATGATGAATCACTAGCTCCCAATATAACACTATTTATATCTGTAATCGGGTTTTGGGACATAATGACGATCAGATGAGAATGGGGTCCCTTATGATGACCTTATTTCCCTTATAGCAGACGCCAGGAAGCTTGCTTCTCCTGCCTCCCTTCCCACCCTGTGAGCACACAGCAAGGTGGTGGCCATCTACAAGCCAGGGACAGCACTCACCAGAACCCATCCATGCTCTGGCATCCTGACCTCAGATTTCTGGCCTCCAGAGCTGCGAAAACTAAAGTTGGGTCGTTATAAGCCACCTGGTGGACCGTACTTTGTCACAGCAGCCCAAGGTCAGACGTGATTCAAGATGGCGCCCCTTGGTGTCTGGCCATGTGGGAAAGCCGCGGATCTGACAAAGCGAGTGACAAGATGAAGTAGACGGTGCGTGCGGGCCTCACCTGGCTGCTCTTTGTGGAGAAAGGGGAGGGCTGCAAGGGAGTAGTAGAGGCAGATGGAGAGCAAGTTCCTGGCTCTGTTGCATCTAGCTCTGGAGATGACCTTCCTCAAGCAGTGGGTTACGGATGCCCTGTCTTCTGAGATGGACACATGGCTCTCTGAACACTATTGCTCAGATTAGGTCACCCATGGAAACCATTGTCCAGCTTGGAGCTAGATGGTGTGCTCCTCCAAGGATCTGGGGAAACCAGTGCAGGGACCTAAGGCACCATGGTCTAAAGCAGCCTAGAAGTCAGCTCTGCAATTCTCTGGCAGGTGTAGTCATTTTCTAATTGTCTTGGGGCTGCCACCACGTGGTGGCTTAAAACAATGAGAATTCACCCCCTCCTAGTTCTGGAGACCAGAAGTGTGAGATCCAGGCAGGGACAGGGCCACTGAGATCCAGGTGGGGCACAGCTACTGACAGGTGGGACAGGGTCATGCTCCTTCCTGAGGCTCCAGAAGAGGGTCCTTTCTCCCTCTTCCAGCTTCTGGAGCTCCAGGCATCCCTGGGCTTGTGGTCACATCCCTTCCATCCCTGCCTTCCTCCTCACATGGCTTCTCCTCTGCGTCTGTGTCTCCTCCTGTGTTTCTTATAAGGACCCCTGTCATTGCATTTAAGACCACCCTAGTACAACAGACTTCATCACTGTCCTTAACTAACTGTATCTGCATAAAACCTACTTCTAAATAAGGGTTCCCCTTGCACTTCTGAGTGGGAGGACATGGTTTCAGGATTGGGGGGGGGGCTCGATTTACCCCAGGAGAGCAGAGGTTGCGTGCGTGTGTTTGCTCATCATGGGCTCAATCCCGCTGCCCATTTCTTATTCCTGGTTTGTCCTCATCTGCCCTTTTGGGTGCATTTTTCTCTCACCACTTGAGTAAGGAAATTTGGGCTCTGCATCTCACCATGTTCTCTTCCCACTGGACCCTCACCCCCTTGGAGAAGACAAGGGGGGAAAAAAAAGAAGTAACAGAATCAAGCACAGAGAACCAGAAAGTCCATGGAGACAGAACTCAGACTCCTGGTCACCGGGGGAAAGGGGCTAAGGAGGGACAGCTCACGGGGACGGGGTCTCCTCTGGGGACGTGCTAAGAACATCTTGGAAGTAGACCGACGTGCTGGTTGTGCAACTTTCTGAACGTACGAAACACAGCCGGACGGCTCACTGGGAAAAGGGTTCACTTTATGTTACGTGAATTTTATGCCTGTTTTTAAAAAATGAAGGGGAACAACGTGTAGGACTTCTGTCCTTGGGAATACTCTTTTCTAACAGTTCATCTAATTTTGGAAAACCCTCATGAAGGAAGGTCTCCTCTGTCTTAAGGAAACACAACCCGCCCAGGGCTGTAACAGGGGAGGAGGAGGACCCACCAGGCTGTACCGAGCGCATCGGTTCTGTCCTCGATTCTGGGGTGTCAGCTGACAAATAAAGGCACGAGATAAAACTTGTAAAAACGGCAGCCAGACACGCGCGCGCACACACACACACACACACACACACACACACACAGCAGAGCCTGCACAAGCAAGGAGCACAGAACATGATCTGCACCCTCTGAGCACAACGGTACCAATGCCGACCTCCTCCTCCTGACACCGGGTCACCAACGACGTCCCCGTGGAGGGAAGCTTCATGAAGGCTGCACGGGGACGGACGCCAGCTCGGACTCCGGAAAGCCCCAGGAGTCTGCAATTATCTCCAAACCTATGATTCTGTTTTTACAGCACGTTGTCTGCCACCACGGGAATCAACCAAGCGTCCTCGTGGGGACCTGAAGTGTGGAGAAACGGGCTTGCACGCCACATCCGGTCCGGGTGGCCGCCTGGCTGCTCCCACCCCGGTTTCTCAAGCTAGGAAATCACAGTGGAGCCCAGACACGCCCCAAGGTCGCCTCCCCGCTTGCCAGATGTCGCAGCAGCACAAGCTGAGATTTCTTCCCGGCTCTCCGGATTTCTGGGCGATCCGCTGGTCTGAAATGCCCACAGTCCCAGCGTCCTGCTCTTCTCCTACCTGCAGGGCCCAACCCTTTGCAGGTGGGTCCGGAGCTGAGGACACGGGGACTGTCTAAGAGCCACGGCGGGCGTACCCAACGAAATCGGACAGAACCCAGGCGTCCTACCTGCACGGAGAGACCCACAGACCCACACACCGTGTGTCTGCGAGTGTGACTCAGCATTTCTGCCCCTCGGGGAGCCTCCCGTCCGTGCCCACCTCGCAGGCAGGCATGAGGAATGGAAACCTCAGGGCCCACGCGTGGGTCAGGAAAAGAGCAAAACACACAAACAAAATGTGTGCGCCGAGGACCGAGACCGGCGGCGTCCTTCCATCAGGACTCCTTCCGGATAGAAGGTTCCAAGATGTGGCTGAAGGAAAGAAAGAGAGGTCTGGGGCGTCGGTGTGTTGTGGGTTTGCTGTGCTTGGGGGCTGGGTTCCCGTCCAGGAGGGGCGCGTTCCTCAACTGGAAAAGTGCATACAAACGGCCCAGGACCATGCAGGATCCGCGGGTGCCTGATGGGCACAGGGGGACAGCAAGGAGGCGAGGTTGTAGCGGCTCGGGCAGAGCTCAGCCTGGCCCCTCTGTGGGACCCACTGCACGTCAGGAAGGGACCTCCAGCTGGTGGACACTGTGGCTTGGACACAGGATGGGGACGGCTCTGGGAGGCTGGGGATTCCTTCAGGTTTGGCCTCTGTCTGTTGCATACACACCTGGGTCTATGCATGTGTGTGTCACACACACTTGCACACCTGCTCCCGTCACACCCAGAGGGGCACAGAAGTTATCCTCAGAGAACAAGCATCCTCTTCACGAAGAGGCAAGGGCCCGTGGAAGAAATCACCCTCCCGTGCACGCCCCTCTCAGTCCCCAGAGGCAGCCACGTTCTATTTTTAAGGACAACATGACTGGCTGGCTGCCCCGTGCCCACTGGGCAGGGCTCCCAGGGCCCCACGGGACTGCCGGCACCAGAACAGGTCGCGGCGACAGCCCACGAGCCTGCCCACACGCTGCGGGCTACCCCGTCCTCCAGCCCTGGCATCTCTGACAAGCCCCAGGCGTGTGCCCAGACGAGATACGATTGTTGGCGCTCGGTGCCAAGGCCTGGCGAGTCGGTCCTCTACCAACTTTCCATTGTTGTCTCTATTTCCACCGACGGCCGGTGTCACCGCCTGGGCTGGGTTTCTGTCCCACCCTGCAGCCCTACAAAACACAGCCCGCATTCCCATCAGTAGCAGCTTCCCGGGGGGAGGGAAGGAGAGGGCGGCACACGGAGGGAGGGACGAACAGACGGACAGAAGGAAGTAAACAGGGAGAGACAGAGAGACGCACACAGCGGCAGAGAAGGTGACGGCCATCCCCCCCTTCCCGAATCAGCTTCCCTGGAGACCCGTCCCCAGTGTGGCCGTGCCTGTCCGTCTCTCATTAAACTCTAAGGCCGTGACCTTGAGCCCTGGCTTCCTGACGCCCTGGCCAGCTTCCTCCTTTTCACAAGAGGGGCAGGGGACCCAGGAAAAGCCCCTGAACACCCCCAGCCCCTTGGTGACCTGTGGCTTGCCGCCTTCCCCAGGGATGTCTCCTACAAGAAACCCATCTCCCAAACCCCGTGAGCAACAAAGAGTTACTAAGAAGCCACAGCGGCCTGTGCCCACCATTCGCACCCAGCCCCAGCCCGGAGTAGGGATTTTCTAGCCCAGTCAGGGCAGCCCCAGGATCTACCAGCGCCTTTCCCGGCACAGGACAAAAGGAAATCAGCGTCTGACCCGGAATGCCAACTTTCGGATCAACAAGATAAAAAGCACGCGCGGGGAGGGGGAAACGGGTAATCAATCCGTCCAGAACGCCCACCCCACGCCCGCCCCCGTTCTGCCCCAGGACACCTGTCCCCGCCAAGTCCCCAGTAAGGTCCAAAGTCTGCGCCGGAGTATCCTGCCGCTGGGCACAGGGAGGCTGGCCGGAGTTCGTAGCTGCCTCTGGGCGCCGCCTCTGTCCCTAGGGGCCCCTAGTTGGGAGGGCAGGCGAGGTCCCCCATAGGAGATGACCCCTGGCAAGTTTTGTGACGTCGGGTGGCACAGATAGCAGGGGGGTTTGGGGGAGGAGGAAAGGACTTGTTAAGTCCGGACACTCCTGGCGCGCGGGGCAGGGCGCGGACACTTGGGGAGGCTCGCAGGAGCTCGTGGGGGGCCACCCTCCAACTTTGGGAGCGCCCGAGGGTCCAGGGGCGCCCCGCCAGCCCGCGCGGAGACCCTGAGCGGAGGAGACCGGGCAGGACCGGCTGAGGGAGGCGGCCCGGCGACGGCACACCGGCCCTTTGTCTGACGCCAGCGTCCCGGGCGGCGCCGAGCGACCCTGCGGGCCGGGTCCCCGCGCGCGCTACTCACCCACGGTGGCCAGCGTGTCGAAGTCCTGCAGGCGGTAGGCTGGCGGCTCGGGCGAGGGCGCCTCGGGGCTGGGGCAGAGCGCGGGCGCCCCGTCGGGGGTCTCCCCGCGGCTCTCCTGAGGCTCGGGGTCGGTCGCGGCCGCCTTGGCCGCCTTGGCCAGCCCGGGCGCCTCCATGGGGTCGCGCTCCAGTCCGCGGCGCGGGGCCGGGCCGAGGAGCGCGGAGGTCCGGGCTTCCCGGGACGCAGCCTCGGAGGGCGGCGCGGCGGCGGCGGCATCAGCGGCGCCCACCCATGCGCCTCCCCCGCCTCCCGGTCCGCGGCCCGGCGCGACAGGCGGAGCGGCGGGGACAATGGCGGGGCGCGGGGCGGCGCTCACTGCAGTAGCAGCAGCAGCAGCTGGTGGGAGTAGCCCGCGGCCTCGGGGGGCGGGCCCGGGGGCCCGGGCGGCGGCGGCGGGGGCGGGGGCGGCGGCGCGGCCGAGGCGGGGGGCGCGGTGGCCCGGACTTTTTTTTTTTTTTTTTTTTTTTTTTTTTTTTTTTTTTTTTTT